TCAGCTCCCCATTTGGTGGACTTTCTGACTGTCAGTTTCTTTCTCTTGAGTTTAATATATTACAATGGAAGGAGAACAGGAAAGGATTTCTTCTACAGAGGAAGTACAGGAACAAATTCTTTGTATGTTAAAAGCGATGATCCAAACTCTACGTATGCAAGCTCTGGATATACAAACTCAAACTATGACTTCAATCAAAGAATTATCTATACAGAATTCTATAGAGAAACTGAAACAACCAAATGTTATGACAGAAGACTTAGATACTCAACAAATACAGACAATAGAAAACACAAAAAAGAAATTGATAATAGAGAACAAGGAAAGGGCATTTCTTATAATTCTTATAAACCAGAAGGAATTTGAAGATAAACAAGAAAAACAGATGAAAGAGAAGATAAATACTTCGGGACAACTGCATCGAACTGGAAAATAAAGAGACTACCAGCTAAATCAAGTCCTCTTAAGAAAACATCAACTGGACGTTCTTATCAACATCAAACAATAGCCACAACAATACAAGGAGATTTTTTTTGATGATTTAAAGGCAAAAATACGAAAAATGACCTGGCAGAGGAAAACAGCTAGACTAAGATTGAAAAAGATTGGGGTTTTGATCTATATATTAGATCTAAAACAGAATATATCTAAATAGATACAATATGTATTCTGAACACAAGACATTGTAACAATTTGAGATAAAAAAAAATTTGGTCATATAAAATCTAGAAATATATTGAAATAAGAATATTATATTGTCATTAGATGGGTAAGGTAGATGGTAGAAGTTATATATAAGGTGTGTATTTTAAATATTAGAATGTATGAGCAATTGGGATAAAGGAATTGTGTTTAATTAAAATTTGGAAAAAATAAATATTAAATGTAATCTGAATGTCTACAAATAATTAAGATTTGAATTTAAGATATTGTTATGAGTTGAGACAAAGGTTAAGTAAAAGTTAAAAGTATAAGTACAAATAATTAAATTTGTATATGGGTTTGTGGTATAAATGTTGGTGGTTTATTTTTAATTTTTTTTCTCTTTCTGGAAAGGAAGAAAGGAAGGAAGTGAAAGGAAGAAAAGAAAAAAAAATATTAGCTCCAAATGTGAGATAGGAGACTTAGAAATTGGGATCATTTAAAACTTGGAAATGATAACGATTAAACGTTAAACTTAAATATCAATGGCAAATTAAAGTTAAGAAAAAACTTACTAGGTTATTGTCTAAAAGGTGAAATGTCAAATTAATTAAGATATGTATAGACTGAAGATTATTGATGAATATTAGAAAGGTATTTTTTGTTTGATTAATAGAATAAGAACTGTATTGGTTTGAACATGACAGTAAATATCATAGGGGAAAGAGAGGGAATTAGTTTGTTGTAATAATTTGAGATTTGTACTGATGATATTCAAATGTAACGGAATTACTATGCTCAGCCGCCACGCTACTTTTCAAATATGTAAATGTAATATTGTAAAATTAATAAAAAACTTGAAACGGAAAAAAAAGTAAGAGATTGGACTCATTACATGGGCATCTTGCTTAATGGGTAGGAATAATAATAAATGCTAACTCTGGGGACATTAGTAAAATCTCATCACTTCCAAAATAAAATAACTAGCCAACAAAAAAGCCTTTGAAATTCAAATTTAAAAAATTGTGATGTGGCCTGTTTGATACTCTATTATAATAAAGAATGTTCATTAAGATCATTTTCTTTACTCAGATTCATTGACCACACCAGAAATAAGCTATGCCTGCAGAATAACATTCTAATGCTTTGTTTGTTTAGAAAGAATGTATTCCAACCAACATGGATAACTAACTTCCATTTTTTATTCTTATATGGATAAACTAAAATTAATCACATTCATTAAACATGGAAGAAATACTGTTTTTATCTGCAGTGATTTTTAATATGCATTTTCTCAGAAACATATCCTGAATGACTTGAAAGATTTGGGTTTTTTAATCACAATCATAGTACTAGCATTATTTATTTTTTTTAATATTTAATGATATATTTATTTTTTATCAGGAACATATATTATAAATATATTATAAACAAATATATTAATAAATTGTGGTTTCAACTGCAGTGAAATTTGCTTGGTTTGAAAAACCTCTTTGTTCTCTTTGGCTAATATTTTCTTAACAAACTCTCTAAAACATAATGAATTCTTACTGAAGCTCTCCCTAGCCCAGTGGTGGTGAACCTATGGCACGAGTGCAGAGGTGGCACTAGAGCCCTCTCTATGGGCACACGTGCCATGCCCCGGAGATGGCAACCTTGGCCACACTCACTCAGTCTGCCATGACCACAGCCACACCTATCCAGTGGGCCATGCCCACCCGGCACCTGGCGATAAATAAGTGGATTTTGGGTTGCAGTTTGGGCACTCAGTCTCTAAAAGGTTCGCCATCACTGCCCTAGCCTGTCATCTTCCAGATGTGTTGGGATATAACTCAAACTAGGCAGCTAAACTGAAAGGGATTTTAGAAATTACCATCAGAGAATATTTCATAGTACTAGCTTGGGAAGCCTATGTTACAGGGGCTGGAAGGGCATTTTCTCTTGTGCTTTCAAGGGGATATACAAATTTGCTTCTAAACGTAACTGACACAAATAACTCATGCTGCTCGTTCTTTTTAGCTTTCACCTAATTGTGAAATGGGCATTGCTTTTGTCTATCCATTTCAAAATTTTAACAGCTTTTCCTTTGAAAACGTGGTCTATTTCAATGACTTGACATGAGTTTAGAAGAAATCCTGTTCTTCATAGAAAAACAAGGTTTCTCCCAACATCAAATATCCCAGAGTTCCTACTTTGGGCAACTTCTACAAAGTCAGGAAAATATTGGCAATTTTGAAAAATATACTTTGGTTCCTAGATAAGCTGCTTAAACAATGGAAATAAACAGCACCTTCAAAACTGAATCATGTATTTCAAATTAAGACAATGTTCTAATTTATAAAGTATAAAAATGCAAGCAAACAGAATAAATCAATATTATAATACAAGTTGTCCTCAATTTACAACCATTCATCTAGTGGCCATTTGAAATTACCACAGCACTGAAAAAAGCGACTTATGGCCATTTTTCACCACCATCACCCCGACCATTGCAGCATCCCCATGGTTACTTGATCAAAATTTCAATAGTTGATCAAAAATTTCAATATTTATGACAGTTATAGTGTCCCATGTGACGACCACCTTTTGTTACTTTCTGACTAAGTCAGGGGTAGGCAACCTTGGCTCTTTTATGACTCGTGGACTTCAACTCCCAGAATTCCTGAGCCAGCATGGCTGGCTCAGGAATTCTAGGAGTTGAAGTCCACGAGTCATAAAAGAGCCAAGGTTGCCTACCCCTGGACTAAGTCAATGGAGAAGCCAGATTCACGAGAATCTGGCAAGAAAGTTATAAAACGTTGGGCTTAATTTTGGTTGTAAGATGAGGACTACCTAAAATATAGCAAGCAAACACATCAAGTAAATATTAATTGGATAGTTTAGTTTAGTTTAGTTTAGTTTATTGTATTTATATCCCGCCCTTCTCCTGGTGGACTCAGGGCGGCTTACAGCCAGTTAAAAAACAGAGCAATTGATACAAATATACAAAATTTAAAATAAATTAAAAGATATATTTAAATAGGCCTTTTCTTATTTTAAAAGTTGATTAAAATCCAATTTAAAATATCCCTAGGC